CCTCTCCCGTGCCCCCCTGGGCTGCTGCGGCGGCTGCAGTCGTGGTCCTGCAAGCCCAGTCCAGCAATTCCCCTTCCCTTTCCGGGAAATGGGTCCGCCACGACGCCCTGGATCCCAGCACAGCCTGGGCAGGCGCAGCTCGGCTCCCGCGGGGTCGGAGGAAGCCCGGAGATCGCTGCCCCGGTTTCTTCCCCAGCCAAAAGGAGCTCGAGCTCAAGTCCCACCCCCCCAGATAGAGCTCACATTTTCTACAAAGTTTGTTTTTACATTGAAATAGTCTCCTCTAGTGTTAAACCTTTTGCATTCTGGTCATGACTAAAACCACAGGCTGGATTCCTTGCTTGCACGCACAGGCTGCAGCTATAGCTTTATTCTAAATTTTGCAAAGCAAACAATTGCCGTTTAAAAATTGCATCTTCTATAGCATTAATCAGCGAGGCTGAGAGGAGTTTTCTGGAGTTAATGGAAGCCATCTGATGTCCATGCTAATTCCCAAGCTTTTTATTCTAGTTTCTAATTGGGCTGGGAGGCTGAGACAAGTAGGCGAGTTCCTCACTGGGACTGACCTGCTTGGGCTGGAAAATGTTGAAAAAATAAAAGAATCTTTAACCCAGACCACTTTGGCTGTTAACCTTGGGAAAGTTTTTGACTGGATCGCAGTTATCTTGGGAAGACTGGAGGGCGACTTTCCTCTGGCCTCTACCTTTTTGTGGGGAGCCTGACCCTTCCCGTGGAATCATTAATTTCTTGGTGACCACAGAGGCATCTGTTTCAGGAGTGCGAAAGTCTCAGAAAGGAAAATTCCATCCGGAAAGTGAGTGATTTTAAGGGAAGGGAGGCGATGAATGAAAGGAGAACTGCTTTGAGTAAATCCCCCCTAAAAGTGGGCCCCGACCGCTCTCCCAGGGCGGAGGGACTGTGCCGGGGTGAGCGTACGAGGAGGCGTCAGTGCCTTCGCGCAGGGGCTGGGGAGGAAGCGCCTGTGCAGCCCACAGTGCTCAAGCTTTGTGTCGCTGCCCCAAAACAGCTTGAAGTAGCCTCCAGGGTCACTCGGGCAATTAGCCACTGCCGTTTAAACAGCCCTCTGTAGAGAGGGACTGTCAGGCCGTGGCCTGAGCTGGTGTAAATTGGTGGAGCCCCTTTGCCCCGAAGGGAGAAGCGGCGGTCGGGTTTTTAGGCGGTGTCTGACCTGCTCCCCTCTCCACAGCCGCAGAGTCTGTGCCGCGGCACCGGAGAGCCGGGCGGCCGCCTACACCGAGTCCCACGTCCAGCCTGTCTACCAGCCCTACCTCACCACTTGCCAGGGCCACCGCCTCTGCAGCACCTACAGGTGAGGGCAACCGCCTGCACCACGCACCTCGTCCCTCGGAGGGAGACGGGCTGGTCCCAGCGAGGCAGCCACCCGTCGGGGGCTGCGAAAGAGGGGAGAGTCCTGCCTCGAGCCCTGGGGAAGGGGCTCCCAGGTCTGACCCACTGGCATGGGAGCGGGATGAGGGGTTTGGGGTGGATCCTCAGCCACCCGGCTCAGCCCCGGCTTTGTGTTGTAGGACTATCTACAGGGTTGCCTAACGGCAGGCGGACTGCCAGGTGCCACTTTTTTTTGCCCCGCCTGGAGCAGGGCTACCAGCCACGCGCTCAGCTGCAACAGAGGTAAGAGGCTGCTGTGCCACCCCGGTGCCAGCGCTCGCCCTTCCTCCAGTCCCCAGGTAGCTCAGGTCCCTGGATGAGGCCCCCAGCAGCCAGCTCTCCCATTTACCGGCACTCTCTCTGTCAGGCGGATTCTCCCTGTAGGAAAGCACGTCAATTTTCAGCGTCGCAACCAAATGCGGTTCAATTTCTGATTAATTCCCAGCCTTTCTCTGCTGCCTCGCAGGCCTTTTTCCTTTGGGATCGCTTATTAACTTTATAGTTACCAGAGGATAAATAAAACGAGTAAGTCCTTTCCATATAAATCAGCAGTAATGGAAGAGAAATGCTTTCAAGAGGCAATTGTGATGTGCAGCACAAAACAAATGCAAAACATCAGCATTTATTCCGGCCCCAGATGAGCTCAGAGCGCAGCACTGGGGGTCTCCCAGGGCCTGTGCTGCTCCTCAGCCTTCCTCCCTGCCGGCTGTGCTGGCTGCAGGCGCCTCTGCCTCTTTCCAGGCAGCAAAACCAAGGTCCTGGTCATCCCACCCGTCCCGTGCCCTGTGTACCCCGGTCAGCTCAACCCCACCGCTCTGGGGCTGGGGCAGAGCATCCCAGCCCCGGGCTGGTGCTGGGGTTTGTTTCGTGGGGGGTGTGTGTGTGTGTGTGCACTGTGTGTGCGTACGCATCCCTGGTGGCAGGGGAGGGAGCTCGGGACCCCCAGAGCTGCCCAGTGATGCTGTGCTTGTGTTTGGTCCCGCAGCTCTCTGCTGGGTGCTGTGCCAGAACGGTGGGAGCTGCGCCTTCCCCGGCAGATGCGCCTGCCCGCCCGGCTGGATGGGACGAACCTGCCAGACAGGTACCGGCCACGCTGCTCCCCTCCAGGCTCCCCAGCTCCCCTCCAGGCTCCCTGAGATTCTCTGGGGAGCAGTGGGACTGCCATGGGGCTCAGGAAGTCCTCTGCTCACAGATCAACCCCTTGGTAGGGGACGGGGACCGGCTCCACGGCTCCTCACCAAGCCTTGGCACATGCCTGGTGCTACTCAGACCACAGAAGGGAACCAGAGTGTTACCCCTCCACACGGACACACACACGCATACCCACATGTATGGCTCCAGGGCAGTGATGCCTGATGGTCTGGCCAGGAAAGGACGGGAACCTCAGCTCCCAGGGGAGCTCTGACCTCCCTTTGGCTGCCCCGGTGCTCCCAGCCCTCATGTACAACCTTGGCATCCCCATTTTCTCTCCGCTGCTGCTCCGTGCTGGGTCAGCGTGAGCGGAGGCTGTACTCTGCCGTGCCTGTGCCGCCAGCTAAAGGCTTTCTGCAGAGCGGCCGTTACACTTGTGGAGTGAGCCAGAGATTGTGTATCTCCAAACCTTTGTAAACTCTTGCTGTAAACAAAGACACCCATTTACTGCAGAGACACAATCTGTAAACTGAAAATATCCGGGGGTGGAGGGAAAGCCTGGCGATCTCCAGGCACTGAGCTCCTCTCCAGCGTGAGAGCAGCCTGATGCTTCTCGCCAGAGCGCAGGGAGATCAGCCAGCGCGGAGAGCAGCAGGGCTTTGCAGACCCCAGCACACCAGCGTGGTGCAAACCCCTGCCACGGCGTTCCCCAACTTTCTGCCCTCCCATGAGGCAGAGGAGGAGCGTGTGGCATTGACCCACGCTGGGCCAGGCAGGGCTGAGCACATTGCTGACAGCTCCGGCTCCAGCGCGAGGGGGGGAAAAGGATTTTCCCACTGCCTAAAACAGATTCGCCCGGGCGTGGGAAGAGGTTCAGCTCATTTTGCTTTGTGGTAACAGCTTTAATAACTCCCCCGTGCGAGGAGAGGTTGCTGAGTTTTGTACACACTTGAAAGGCTGATAGCTCCTCGCCATGGCTGGCTGGAGCCAAAACCCCGGCCGTAAATCCAGGATGAGAGCCGAGCGCTGCCTGCGCCCGCCTGGCCAGAGTTAGGACATTTCTGCCCACAGCTTTTGTTTCTGGCAGTTTTTTTGGGGGGTGGAGGGAGCCGGGGGGAGGAGGCCAGGTCACCCTTGGGGTTAGCCCCGGTTTACTCCAGCCGGGTGCAAGAGGAAAGGCTGTCCGAGGCGCTGGCGTGTCTTGTGCGCAGACCCTGCGGTGCTGAGAGCACCCAGAGCTGTGCCCAGCACAAACGCCAGCTCCATCTGGGGTCCCATCGCATCCCGCCCCGTGCGAGCCCGCACAGCTCTAGCAGGGGGAGCAGGACCCCGGCTTGCGGGGCTGAGTGGTCCGTGCCCCGGTATGCACCTCCTCACCACCCCCGTCCTCACTGAGCCCTACCTGTGGTTTCAGACGTGGATGAGTGTGCCGGCCAGAGACACGGGTGCCATCAGCTCTGCGTCAACACGGCCC